TAAGCACCTGAAGAAAATGGAAGTTAGGACAAGCCATGTTTTCTTTCACCCAAGACCCTCCCTGTTTCTTTATATATATTTTTCTCTTCCTCTATTTTATTTTAAGCTGATGCAGGAAGGGATGGCTATTAATTAAGTTGTCATCTTCACCAAGCTCAAGTCAGCCTTAGGGGAAAAAAAATAGTGCAATAAAAATTTCTACTGTAGGATATAAAGCTTCCATAAATTGTTTTATTTATTTTACTTGCAAGTGCAGCAAAGTTCCTGATTTGGTAAGAGTTAAGGGACATGGTTGATTTTTTTGGGGTAGGGATGTTTCTAAATTACAGGCAGTCCTCAACTTATGGCCACAGTTGAGCCCAAAATTTTTGTTCTTCGGCGAAACACTGGTTAAGTGAATTTTGTCCCATGTTACGAGCCTTTCGTGCCACAGTCGTTAAGTAAATCACTGCAGCTGTTAGGTTACTACAGATGGTCCTCAGCTTACAACCACAACCGAGCCCAAAATTTGTGTTGTTAAGCGAGAAATGTGTAAAATAGTTTTGCCCCATTCTATGACTTCTCTTAAGTGAATTACGGCAGTTGTTAAGTGAATCTGTCTTCCCCGTGGACTTCGCGTATCAGAAGGTCGCAAAAGTGGATCACATGGACTCNAAAATATTTGTTTTACCTTGATCTGATTTTTTTATTTCTCAAAAACATGACATTTTAAGAGGGGTGTGTAGACTTTTAATGTCCACTGTATATATTATAATTTTATTTTATACATTATAATATACACAAAACATGCACACATAAACAGTATTTTTCAAGTTCAGCTCAATTCTTGATGATTTCATCATGTAGCGTTCTTAGGAGTTAAGAACTGATCATCTGTTGTCTTATTCTAATTTTATTCCTTATTGTTTTATTGTTTAGTATTTAATTTATAGCCCAAATATTCTATGAAAGTCTACTTAAGTACTAATTAGGCCCAGCTTCTAAGCTGAAAGTCAGGTGCAGTCATTTTTTTAATACAATATTTAATACTTCAGTGTATGATTTGCAAACCCCAAAGCATTCAGTTTTAATCAACTCATGTGCAGCAATGTATGTATAGCTGGAGCTTCAGCTTGGTTATATGAAATTTTTCTTTGTACCAGATCAATTAATATTTTCAGTATTGTCTCTGTCTTTTTCTACTCTATCTTCTCCAATTTCTTTCTTCAAATGCATCTGAGTGACTGAGCAGTTGCTGAACTGAGTATCATCTTCAAAATGCTCCTTCATTTGCAATAACTTGATTTGGAATCATGCTGATCTTCTGACCTCCTTCTGATCCATCTCTTCTATTATTATTTTCTATACCGCTTGTTATTAGGTCAAGACATAAACCCACCTCTTTTCTGATCTGTTGGTGATAAAATAAGTCCAGAAATATTTACTCCACTCAAGCTTTAATAATCCATTTTGAGCAGAAGCAGTTCTTCAAATAAGGTAGATTAGTAAGGCTTTTTAAAATGGTATCTTGCAGCACCATTGCCAAGATGTAAAATACCATTTAAATTGACCAGATTTATTAATATTTTCAGAATTATGGCCACCCACAATCAATTTTGTATGTGTGTGTGAATTTAAATTGCCTGAGAGGCTCTTTTAATCTAAAGCAGAGCTCTGTTAAAATATTTGTGCTAAATTTTAGAGATATTGTATATTTCTTTGTTTGCACAAAGCATGGAAGTATAAACAGTAAATTTTAAGAAACATTATAAATAAGGTTGAGTCAAAGAATTATTGACTATAATCAATGGAATTTCAATTTTGAGGAGGGCTTACTGCATGAAATGATTGGTGAAGTAGGATCAATAATTTGTTCCCAGCAAGAGTTTCACAAAAATGTTATTTTGCAGAGTCTGATAGGTAGTGCTTCCTAATATTCAGTGTGAT